TACTACTTATACTATACTACTATACTACTACTACTACTACTAATACTATATACTACTACTACTACTACTACTAATACTACTACTACTACTATACTATACTACTATTACTACTACTACTATACTACTACTAACATACTACTACTACTATACTATACTATATACTTACTATACTACTACTACTACTACTACTACTACTACTACTACTACTACTACTACTACTACTACTACTACTACTACTACTACTACTACTACTACTACTACTACTACTACTACTACTACTACTACTACTACTACTACTACTACTACTACTACTACTACTACTACTACTACTACTACTACTACTACTACTACTACTACTACTACTACTACTACTACTACTACTACTACTACTACTACTACTACTACTACTACTACTACTACTACTACTACTACTACTACTACTACTACTACTACTACTACTACTACTACTACTACTACTACTACTACTACTACTACTACTACTACTACTACTACTACTACTACTACTACTACTACTACTACTACTACTACTACTACTACTACTACTACTACTACTACTACTACTACTACTACTACTACTACTACTACTACTACTACTACTACTACTACTACTACTACTACTACTACTACTACTACTACTACTACTACTACTACTACTACTACTACTACTACTACTACTACTACTACTACTACTACTACTACTACTACTACTACTACTACTACTACTACTACTACTACTACTACTACTACTACTACTACTACTACTACTACTACTACTACTACTACTACTAGTACAACTGTCACTACTACTGATGTCTTCCATATTCATTTTTACCCATTTCACTTAAGATTTGTCTTAACTATTCTCAATAGTTATAAGTATTTTGACTACAGTTTCATTCAATCGATTTTCAATGTTTTTCAGATGTTTGTTGCTCTATTTTCGTTTTTTTTTGATTCATCTAAATATGATTAATATTACTCCTTCTTGATTCAATATAACTAGTTAAGAATATACAAATATATTTTAGATTCATATTCATAATAAGAAGTTTTGACAGTAATTTTTATGATATAAATTGTTGTCAGTTTAGTAACTAGTGAAAAATAGAAGGAAAAAATAATAATAAAGAAAAGGTATATACAACTTCACTTGATATTGTTTTACTTGTATCTTCCCATTTACGTTTAAGACTGTAATTGATCAGTCTGTTTATTGGCATATATGCATACAGTAGCTGAGTGGATAACGCGATGGCGTTTGAAGCGAATAGTACTGAGTTCGAGTCCCAGAATGAATATCAACTGTGGGATGTAGGGACATTCAGCTGACGAGTCCCAAATAGGACGAAACGCACGTCCTGGATTCCCCGTGTGGTTAAGCAAAGGTGTATTTAAAACTGTTAACAGGTTCATCTTAGACCATCTAGTTCAGATAGAACATACAACCAACATGAAGCAATCTTTTGCAATCATCTATCGTGTTAACAGCAGTCTACCTTATTCCACCAGACTGCGAATTCTACAGATGGCTGGAGCAATTCCTATTCGGACCAAAATGCCAGAGCTTTACATCTGAAAGAAATATGTTCAGTCATTCCTTTTATCCTGGCCAACTTTGGGGCCAACTAGTTAATAATCAATTTCATAATATGTTGACGTAATTTGATTAATGGTCATTTTATGTCCCAAACTTATCTTGCTATTATTATTATCATTATACTTGATAACGTTTATGAGGAGTTCATTCAGTATCCACCTCTAAATCTACTATATCTAACCTAATTCTTATTATTCTACACATTGCGTATTCTCTGATTTCTATTCCATTATCCTCTCACTTTCACCACATGTTGACCATATTTATTCTGATCATTTATCGCACAATTTCATTTCACTTACAAACTGATTCAAGTTAACAACTTCATATTAGTCAGATCCAACATTAACGATTTGATTTGATAACAAACAACAAGACTGATAGGTCCTGGGTTCAAATCTCATGGGGTTCAGGATCGTGGATGCGTACTGCTGAGGAGTCCCATACTAGGACGAAACGGCCGTCCAGTGCTTCCAGGTTTTCCATGTTGGTCTAGCTTCAATTAGGTCATGATTTCAATCTGTGAAAATTCTTAATTCATATATTACAATTTCCAAATGATGTACTCTGCCTTAAATCTGGCCAATTTGGATATGAGATAATTGTAGATATTATTGATGAGAAATTACTGAAAAGAACATTCTTCGTTCATACAATTGTAGTTTTGTATTGTTTATTTGAATCTTCCCATTGATGTTTAGGACTACAATTGACCAGTCTGTTTATTGGCTTATGTGTATCCTGTGCGGTTTCTTTAGAAACTTAACAGTAAGTCATAAGCATTATAAGCAAAGTATAATGGTGGTTAGTAGCAGAATGTAGGACTCGCGTTTCGACCTATTTCAAACTGATCAGCTGGATGTACCTACTTCCTAAAGTTGATGTTTACTCTGAAATCCAAACTCAGTACCGTTCACTTCAAAAAGTTAAGTGGATAAAATGATGGTACATTCATATTCCTGTACTATTAACTATTATCTACTATCAAATGTATACAAAATCAATTGTAATACACAATAATAAACATAATATTGTAAAATAGAATTTGCTATATGAATAGTTTAGAGTTTAAGAGTTCTCTCATGAAACCAAAGGTTTTAGGTTCGAGTCCCTTTGTTACGGGATTGTGAATGTGCATTGTTATCAACAATATATATTTATAATTTTTATGAAACTGATTCTCCCTAATGTACTTGATGCAAACACTACACTATGTAAAGTTACTTAGATTAGGGATCAAATTACATTTTGATCGATAGAATTTGATGAGTACTTAAAAGAACTTGATATTAATAATATTGATCGCTAAGTAATGATCAATCCGTTGTAACTAATCCACGAGAAAAAATAAGAGAGAAGAAAAGATGATACAATGACGAAATAGAAAGAAAAAAAGGAGAAAAACCATACAATCGTTGATTATTCAATGGATAAGAATTATTACTGAGCTATCGGGGCCCGCGACTGACCTCCTGTAGGACTGAAATGTAATCACAATTGATTGATCACTGGATGGTGATCAATGTCATGTGTGTCAAGTCCTTATTATTAGTGCAGATCGAATGCTATCGATCATGTTGTAATGTGGCCATCAGTCTAGGTGAGTCAATATATAGTGCACACCCAGTGATCAATCAATTGCGGATAAGAATCATATTTGGATTCAGTTGATAGATATGATTTAATCATAATGGAAGAACTAAAACTGTATACAAATGTAATAATAATGTAGTCTTTGGTGAAGTTTTGTTCTCTGAGCTGGATGGTCAAACTTCTATCTGAAGTTTGTGCTGATGATGTCGTTCAGAAGAACGATGAAAGCTCCACGACCAAACCATCCAGCTCAGAGAACAAAACTCCACCAAAATCATCCACCTGAGCTACAAATCTTCACCTCCATCTCATAATGTAGTCTATATTGAAAATATAAGGAAAAGTAAATGATTGTTGAAATAATGAAACATAAAATACATGAAAGAGATTTTCTAATATACAAATGATAATACAGTAGTTTAGAGGTTAAGCTATCACGTACAACATCGATAGATCCTGAGATTGAATCTTGTGGAGTGAGATCGTGAATTTGAACTACTGAGGAGTCATATATTAGGATGAGACAGTCGTTCAATGATTTCAGGTTTTCCATGGTGATTTAGATTGAATGTACTTATGAATACTTAGTTTCAATCATATAACATCGTTAATATTATGTTATTCAGTGTTCTAGAATATTCTTTCGTAAAGACAATGATGATTTATTGTATTATCAGTTATATTCAAGAAGATCTGAAACCAAGCATCAAATGATTCATCCTACTCTTTACTATATGTATTCAATACCATAAATAACATTACATAACTACCAACTAACTCCAACTGGAGTTACTGCCGGTCTCAAGCCCAGATAAAAGATGGAGGGTTGAACATGAGGTTAGTGACCCCATCCTATAGAAAACTGACTCGCTAAAAAACACTAACCAGGAAAAAATAATTTAAACCATTTAAACTCTACTCTAGGAAGAAGAGTTATGGCTTCTGATGAGGAAAGACGAATTCCTTTGAAAGTCACGAGGCTAACCCTTCTTCTGACAATCAGAGCAATTATTAATTTGAGTACATGAAATGTTAGTAAAATATGGAAGACCGGGAGAGTAAGCCAAGTAAGTAACTATTAATTGACAAACTTTGTTTACATATATTACATGTTTTTCTTCTAATGGTTAAGATTATGAGTCAATTGAAGCTAAACCACCATGGAAAACCTTGAAGCACGGGATGGCCGTTTTCCCCTATTTTGGGAGTCTTCAGCAGTACGCATCCATGATCTCGTTTCTCAAGATTCGAACCCAGGACCTAAGAGTCTCACGCGCGAGCGCTTAACCTTTAGACTCTTTTGATATTAATAAACATACGCTCACTAATGACTGGCTTCAAGAGGTATTTCTTGAAGTTCTAGTGAGAAGCAGTGATCAGTGGAATTCAACCAGGTCTGTTGTGAGATAGTAACTCATTGAAGATAATGATGGACGGAGGTGAAATTTCGTGGATAGATTGAACTTGAACATTAACACCGTTGAATGTCAGCTCAATGGTCTATAGGTTAAACGTCCGCGTGTGAGACCGATAGGTTTTAAGTTCGAATATCATGAGTCGGGATCATGGATGCGCATTGGTGAGGTGTCCCACAATAAGCCATCAAACGGCCATCAAACAATGCTTCCAGGTATTCCATAGTGATCTAACTTCTATTGTCTCATGATCTTAACTATAAAAATTACTGTGAATATCTACAAAAACCCTTTTCTGACATATATCACATGTGTTTAAATGGAATTGAAAGAAGAAAACTAAACAGAACATTTAATTGTAATAAAATTTCAAATTACCTTATTGGATTAATATTGCATAATCTAATCATCACATTTGGTTCCATTAATGTTGTATTATCACTATATATTATATCATCCTGATACTGTTGGTGCTGTTGCTGCTGCTGGTGCTGCTGGTGCTGCTGCTGCTCATGATGACGATGATGATGATGATGATCTTCATTATTCATATTGTGTTTATTTAAATAGGAATTTTGTAAATAGTCAATGAATCCATTCATATGATGATCATCATCAATGAATAAATGATAAGCTTTTAACCATTCAAATGTACGATATAATAGTAAAGTTAAACATAAGATAAATGATATGAAATGAAATAACCTGAAATAGAAAATAGAAAATCAAGATATATATATATATTTTGTATTCATATGACAAGTAAGCATAATTCTATTGTATAGAGTTGGACTTGGAATCCTGAATTGAAGCGGAAAAGAGAAAAACCAAAGAACACATTACGTCGGATAATAAAAGCAGATATGAAAAAGATGAATTACAACTGGAAGGAGCTGGAAAGTATTGTCCAGGACAGGGTTTAATGGAGAACGCTGGTGAGCGACCTATGCTCTTTCACGAGGAGTAACAGCCGTAAGTAAGTAAGTAAGAGTTGAAACTTCAAGAACTACTAAAAATTGAGAGGATGAAAAGTGAATGTCTAGCGCTTTAACTGGATTGGTGGATAAAGAGGATCTACACCTAGGGGAGTTGGAAAAGCTCCATTTCAAACCAATTGTGTAAATGCGTTTCAGGATCCTGAAGGAATAAATGGAGTATGAAACAATTATTAGTGAGATGATAGCAACCGATGGTTAGAGGTCTTAAATGACATGGCTGAAAATCGTTTGTAATGGAGCAGCTGGATCCACTCTTTGTGTTCTCACGAATTCTAATCTTCTGAATTTGTCATGTCCCCTCCTTTTTTTCCTCTTTCCAAATTTATTTCACTGTATTATACTCTTTAAATAACATCTTCAAACCCTAATGTTTTCGATTACTGCTTATACTCTTACTACTCTACCACTACGGGATTTGAATGGAAAACTGCATCTCTGTACTAATGTGGTATGGCAACTCGAACTAGTGTACTCACGTACGTACGAAGTTCTACGTTCTTACTGACTGGCTGACTGACAATTATTGGTGACCGGCTTGTTATAATTTGTGGTTTGAATGCTTATTGTCTTGGCTCTTTTAATTCTACTTTTTGTATCTGGTTGTCGTTGATTGGTTTTATCGGAAACGCTTACCACTTATACTCGGAACGAGGGACCTCTGTAATTCCCACGACGCGAAAGTAAGAACACAAAGACTGGTATAAGTGAAGATTTATTAGCCCCAAAACACCATGAAGACAACGAATTGAATCTAGTCTAAAATACGCTGGTTTCTATATTGATTGTACACCCATTTTGATTAATAATTAGGATTAAATCACATACTCAGTTATAACAAATCACTTACTGAGCATAGTTCATGTCAATGGAATACAAGAATATCGTATATTATACAGAAGAAAATATCATAGAGAGAAAACAATCAAATGCTACACTGAATGATCCTCATGTTGACTCAAAACGGATGTTGAATGTTGAATCAAACTCATAATGAGTAAATCAACCTAAAATTAACTTTTCTTTCCATCATATCACGGCTACCATAGGATTGCGTTTCCTCATTTTGTTCCACTGCCTTGTGGATCAGACCTTTAGGTCGAAGGCTTCGAGCGCGGTCCCCTAAGAGAACCACCCGTTTCAGCCTGAGAACCCAGGTAGTATCACAGTCCACACAAAAATCAAGTGACTTGTGTGGTGCATATGTATTCGGTTCCCCTTTTTAACAGCTTACTGTGGGAGAGAGAAAACAAGCTACCGATTGAAGAGGATTTTAGGAAATCGGTATTAGAGATGGATAAGACGTATATTGTGGATATCATCAAACTGCATCACTAGGCAAGCGCCTACTTGGAATCCTGAAGGGAAACGGAAAAGAGGAAAACCAAAGAACGCATTGCGTCGTGAATTAGAAGCAAACATGAAAAGAATGAATAACACTGGAAAGAACTGGAAAGGACTGGTCCATGACTGAGTTAGATGGCGAGTGCTGATGAGCAGCCTGCACGTAAGTAAGATCAAGTTACTTTTCAAAGAAACACAGTATACCAGAATCCCATTGAAAACTGGATAGCACTGGACAGCTATCCTGTCATAGTACGATACTCCTAAACAGTGTCTCCTCAAAACTCCGACAATGACCAAACGTAGAAGAATTCCTAATGAAAACCAACTATTGGTTGAAATTGGATTAGTTAATATGTTTGGTAACAAATTGTTTATTCTGGTTGGTGTTTTTATTTCTATGTGATGAGGTTTACAACTCCATACCGAACTCTCCTCTTTTGCCCGGGTTTGAGATTGGCAGTAGCCCTTAAACATCAACAGGCGAAGTTAGATAGAGAATGATGGTGAGCGGCCTATGCTCCTCTATCAGGAGTAACAGACATAAGTAAGTTTGATAACAAAACAGTAGTAGCCGAAATTTTTAACATATTTGAATGTCTACATTTGACGCTAGAATTTATGATATCATACACGTAAGATAAATGTCTAAGCATTGACTATAGAATTCCGATTAAATAGTTTGCTGAAAACTTATCAAAACTCTTCACATTAATTTCTTCATTCATGTCACCACTAAGTGTACATTCATTGATATTGTTCATTTGAATCTTCCCATTGATGTTTAGGACTGCAATAGATCAATCTCTTATTGCCATATATGCATGGTATACAGATTACTATGATATTACCTTAAGTCATAAGTATTCTAAGCAAAGATGGATGGTGGCTAGTAGTATTTAGATGGTAGTTGGAGGTAGTCAACAGGAACCCTGATCAAGCATGACATTGATCACCACCCAGTGATCAATCAATTGTGATTACATCTCAGTCCTACAGGAGGTTAGTCACGGACGGATAGCTCAGTGGTAACGTCTCTGATTGTGAAGCTGGGTGACACGAGGTCGAATCCACCAGGGAGCACCAGTTCCCTCAAGATTACAGGTACACCTTGCTGACGAGTACCAAGTAGCACGAAACCTGGGTCCAGGGTTTCCTGTTGACTACCTCCAACTACCATCTAAATATCAATACATAGTGCCGCAGTGTCGAGTCATTTAGACTGGTGGCCACATTGCACATGATAGATAGCATTCGATCTGCACTAATAAGGACTAGACAAGCATGACATTGATCACCACCCAGTGATCAATCAATTGGTGGTAGTAGTGGAATTCAAGACGCGCATTTCGTCCTATTTGGAACTCGTCATCTAGATGTTGAATGTATCATGCATCTGTAAAGTACTTTCTTCAAAAAACTATGTCTAAATGATCGAAAAACAATGAAATTGTCGAAACAGACTCAACAAAACTGTAAACAATGGTAAGGCTATAAATTTTCTCAAGTGGAATGACAATCAATTAAACTATGATAGGACTAGTATTGACAATTACTAGTCATATTAATTCTTAACAAAGCAACTATATGACATATATATAGAAATATTCTAATATCAATCACGCTTCTATCTGAAGTTTGTCCTGACAGTGTTGCTTAGACACCAACGAATGTTTTATGATTACGTAATCCGTCTTCGACAATACAATTTCAAGAAAAATTATTCTTGTTTGTTTTTTTGATTGAGATCATAAACCGATTAATGTTAGATTACTAATTGGATACCTAGAAGCATTGGACAGTCATTTCACGCTATTATGGAACTCTACAACAGTGAGCATCCACGATCCTGCTCGCAGAATCCAATGGTGATCTAACATCAATCGGTTCATGATCTCAATAAAAAATTTCAAAAAAAAACAACTTAATAATCTCCCCTACCCTCAATATATGATCGAACATCTAAGTTACTAAAACAAAATATGAATGCATTTCACACAAAAAAACAGTACTCAACTTACCATTTCTTTGTTTTACCATAGCAACAAAAAGTTTTTTTCATTTTTCTCTTCTTTTAAATGAATCTAGATCGACACTATATAGAGAAGTATACTTTTCGGTACTAATTTAAGTCAACTCAATTACATCATTCATCTATTAGGATAAGATTTCATACATGTAAATTATTATATTGAACATGATTTAATGTTAAGGATTAATGTTGACGATTGAATTGTTGCTAAGTGGTTTGAAATCTCTCTAGAATTTTAGACAATAGTATCTAACTATATATACTACTGTCTATATATATATATATATATATATATATATATATTATATATTATATATATATATGGATACATAAATGGTTATGATAAATAAATAAACCAATCAGAATAGTGTAATATAATCCCAATAAATAGAACAAAGTTACTTGTTGCTTTTATGACTTTCAATCTGTCTTTCTTCTTTCATATTGTCTCATTCTGTCTTGTTGAGTCGTCGTCTCCTTTTGTTTTGCTTTGTTTTGTTTTGGAGTTCATCATCGTCGAAGATAACCATCGACATCATCATCATCATCATCATCATCATCATTCTGGATTGAATGATTGAATGTGATAGTGTTTTAAAACATTTCGAATGGTTATTTCATTTCATCAAAAAAGAAATGGATTAGAAGGGGGAAAAAATATCAAAAAGAAAACTTGGATAAATTAAACAACTCGATGGAAAGAAAGAAAATAAAGAATGAAGGTTTGAAGACTGAAAAGAGTAATCTTGAATTGTGGTAAACAAATAAGAAAGGTTTTTTATGGCGATCTAGCTTCAATGGATTCATGATCTTAACTATTGATGTTACTATAATATCCACAAAAACCCCATCTGATTATAATCATCATATGCTGATTGGTGACTGTCTTCAAGAGGTATTTCTTGGAGTTCTAGTGAAAAACTGTGACTAGTGGAGTTGAGTCGAGTCTGTTGTGAGATAGTAACTCACAGATGACAATGGTGGATGTGTGACTCAATTTCATGGATTAGTTGAAGTTAGACATTAACACCGGCTCAGTGGTCTAGAGGTTAAGTGTTCGTGCATGAGACTGATAGGTCCTGGGTTCAAAAATCACCAGGTGGGATTGTGGATGCACACTACTGAGGAGTTCCACAATAGCAGAAAACGGCTGTTTACTGCTTACAGGTTTTCCATGATGGTCTATCTTCAATTGACTCATGATCTCAACTATGGGAAATAAGAAAGTGGATAAATAAGTTATTAGACAAGCATGAAGACCAGAAATGGAGTGAATGGATAGAATTTGAAAATTATGTTCCACATTAGAAAGAAGAAATGGTTAGTACTAGCTGCTATTCTCATACATAAATACAAGTACGATACATGACGTTTGATTTAGATGTACACGCCTCTTACACGCTTACTCAACCAACTACATTAGTTAGAATATTGAGAAATGTTTAGAAAGCTGTAAATGAGGAACCAAATGAATAAGAACACAATTTATTGATAATATAACATGTTCATCTCATCTAGACAAAAATGTATAGGCTTAAACCTTGATTTAAAGCATAATTGGGTCTTTACAGTAGTGACTTGTTTGTATTCTTTCATTCATTGTTAGACTTCAAATGCCTCATGAGCAAAGTAACGTGATTTACGGGACTCATTCAGATAAACATATACATACTTTCATATACTGAAAAATAAAGAAGATGCTGTGATTGAGTAGTTTTCCCGTTAGTTAGGTAATTTATAGTCCAAAATTTATGTGTATTAACATTTTTTAATGAACTGTGATTGACTGGTGAACTATTGAAATCTAAAGAGTTTTGAGAAGTTGTTTTGTTATGATGTTACTTGCTTATATACGCCTGTTACTCCTTGTGGAGGAGCATAGGCAGCCCAACAGCATTCTCTATTCAAACCTTTTTTGGGCAGTCCTTTCCAGTTGTTATTCATCCTTTTCAGGTCTGATTCCATTTCCCGATGTGATGCATTCTTTGGCCTTCCTCTTTTCCGTTTCCACTCAGGATTCCAAGTTAGGGCTTGCCTGGTGATGCAGTTTGATGATATGTGTAATGTCTGTCCTATCCATCTCCATCATTTTTTAATAATTTCTTCTTCAGCTGGAAGCTGGTTTGTTCTCTCCCACAGAAAGCTGTTGCTGATGGTACTCGGCCAATGGATGTTGAGTATCTTGCGGAGACAACTATTTAAAAATACTTGTACATTCTTGATGATGGTTGTTGTATTTGTCCACGTTTCAGCTCCATACAGTAGAACTGTCTTGATGTTCGTATTGAAGATTTCTGACTTTGATATTGGTTGATAGACAGTTGTTTTGAGTTCCATATGTTCTTCAATTGTAGGAATGTGGTTCTTGCTTTGCTAATCCTCGTCTTTACGTCTGCATCTGATCCTCTTTGTTCATCGATGGTGCTTGCCAGGTATGTGAAGGATTCTACATCTTCCAGTGTTTCTCCACCAAGTATGATTGTGTTGGTATTCTCCGTGTTGTATTTGCGAACGTTGGTTTTCCCCTTGTGTATGTTGAGGCCCACTGATACAGAGACTGCTGGTACAGCATACCACGTTGAAAGCACTGGTTCTCGTACGACCACCGCGTTTTGTTATGATATGAAACTCTTTAAAATTGTGTGCCTACAAACTCTCTGAGAATCAGATTTGGCATTGTTAGGTTATGTATTTGAATTGACAAATGTTCATATTTCTAATTTCAGTCAGTTTTTGATACATTGTATCACCGATGAAGGCTGTCTCACATCCGACATGGTCGAATCATACAGTTAATTCTATTAGAACTGTGAAAACTATTCACAAAGTAAAATACTTAGACGATTTAAGCGCTTTATCGAGAATTGGTTGAAGTTAGGAATGTAAACTGTCGGACTTTGAATCCGAGGTAAATCAATGAAAACTATGAATATTACTCATACATATTGGCCAAACACCATCAGCAATAAACTTCTGTGACAAAAGCAAATCATCTTTCAATTGTAAAGAAAATCAATAGAAGATTCTGAAAGTGAATAGAGCACAATTTACGGAAATTACCAAGTTAAATCACAAACCGAACTCTAAATTAGATTCCTCAAGAGAAGGCAGGCCAAAAAAAACATTACATTTGAAGTTGAAGGCAGACAGTGAAAGAATTGATTAGAAGATGAAAATCAATGGAAAGGAGTGGTCATAACAGGCTAGATTGAAGACCATCTCTTTTCAGCCTATACCATAAGAGAAGTAATGGCTTCAAGTAAGTAAGTAAGTAAGTAAGTAAGTAAGTAAGTAAGTAAGTAAGTAAGTAAGTAAGTAAGTAAGTAAGTAAGTAAGTAAGTAAGTAAGTAAGTAAGTAAGTAAGTAAGTAAGTAAGTAAGTAAGTAAGTAAGTAAGTAAGTAAGTAAGTAAGTAAGTAAGTAAGTAAGTAAGTAAGTAAGTAAGTAAGTAAGTAATTAAATAAATAAGTACTTATACACAAATTAGAACCCAATAAAAAATAAAATTGGTAGACTGTATTTTAACTGTCATTTGTGCTGTGGAATTGTACATGTTCATGTAGCAAATACATATCTTGAAAGCACCTAACAAGATAGGATATAATACATCAGACTAAACCAATAAACATTAAATATATTCATTACTCGTTTTTTTCTTCATTTATGATCATATTACTGAGATTTAGTAGATAATAAAGTTGAATGAACACTGTGAGGTTTTAATGTACAAACATTCAAGGGCTGTTGATGATTGAGATCATGAACCGATTGATGTTAGACCGCCTTTAGAAACATAGAAGCACTGGACTGCCGTTTCGTCCTATTGTGGGACTCCTCAGTGGCATTGCGCATCCACGATCTTGCTTGCGGGATTCGAATACAGGGCTTTCGGTCCCGCGCGCGAACGCTTAACCTTCTGGACCACTGAGCAGACATCCAATGGTGATAGTTTCTAACATCAACCAACCCACGAAGTTGCGTGAACATCTTCCATTGTACTGACGTAGATACCTGTCTCTACTCGACACGGATTAACTCTGCTGAGGAGCCCCACAATAGAACGAAACGACCGTCCAGTGCTTCCAGATTTCCAACGATGGTCTAACATCAATAGGTTCATGATCTCAATCAAAAACCTAATAATCTCCACAACCCCTATACTTGTATTCAAGGGTTGTGTCTCCTCATTTACACACAATTTCATATAAAATCGTATCAAGACAGGCTTAGATAGAGGTTGTTGGTGAGCGGCCTATGTCCCTTCATAAGGAGTAACAGGGTTAAGTAAAAAAGTAAATCTCTTTCAAACCACTAATAGCAAATCTGTCAACTCTTTTATTATAATTTCAGATTACCAACTGTACAATATATTGAACTTCTTATTAATACAGTAAAATACATAACTTGATCAATAAGACCAGTGAAATATAAAAGCGTAACCTACAACAATGAATAACTTTATAATTAGGCAATTTTTAATACAAAACTATGTAACCTATTCATAATAAATTGATAATTTCTTGATGAACAGTAAAAAACTCAACAATAATTAATACTAGAATGAGGATTTGTGAAGATTGTAACAATTTTAACAGTTGGATTCATGAGTCGATCAAAGCTAGATCATCGTTGAAAACCTGGAAGTACTGGATAACCGTTTCATTCTATTATGGGATTACTCAGGAGTGCGCATCCATGATACCGTAAACAGGACTCGAACCCAAGACCCTCAGTTTTGTTAAACCTTTAGACCATTGAAATCGCACACAATGCTGTTAACGTCTAACTTCAATCGATTCATGTTCTTGCACAACCTTTAATCCATTGTCTGAGGTAGATAACTGTCTCAAACGCGAGATCTAATGTCTTGGGTTCGAGCCCTGTGTTTGCGATCGTGAATATGCACTGATGAAGCATCCCATACTAGGAAGAAACAGTTGTCCGATACTTCCAGGTTCTCAATGGTGGTCTAGCTTAAATCGACTCATGAATTAAACTGTTAAAATAGTTGGTACATCTAAAGAAACCTTA